CAGTAAGACTATCGCGGAAAGACGATTGGCTGATCAAGTACGGGTCACGAGTAGCAATGCGCTTGAATTCCAAACACACTGCGCTAAGAGTTTCTCCATCAACTTTTAAGTCGACTTCATTTGAACCGACTTACTGCCAGTAGAGAGAGACATTATGTGTGATTTTGATGGTAGATTTAGTACACTTGACGCTAGAGTAAGTCTTGAGCTTAACAGCCATGTAGACATGTTTGTGGCCTCCGGACTTTGTGAGAAATATTTGATCAACTGATCGCAGGAAAGTGCATCCTAAATATATCAGTTAAAAAATTTAGAAAAAAGTAAATAAACTTGCTTTTTCGTTTGACAAACTCAATTTGTCCATTGACCACTCCTCCTGTTCAATAATATCTTTAAGTGCGTCCATGCTCACATAGGACTGACCACAAGTGTAGTAACGGCAAAGAGCTAATTTCAAAGAAAAACAAAAAAATGAAAAAGTACCTCTTATCTTGTCTCTCCTGGTTCCATTTAAGAGAAACCGCAGGAATCGGCTAAACACATCTAGCGTTACATCAGTAGGAGTTTGATCAGGACAAAAGAAAAATCGCTATGAAGTTAATTGGAAATTTTCCCAAATGACATACCTTTAATACCGCATCTGGGGCGTAATGACCAAGAAGGTCAATGATTTTTTGAAAGTTCAGTACATTTCTGCCATCTTTTAGATCATTAAATACACTTCTAATTCTGATTAATTGATCCTGTGTCACTGTAAAAGGAATACTTAAGAAAATAAAGACATCTAAGCTTTCATTTTCACTTACTTTCTTATTTCATAAAAATAAAATGTCTGCATAAAGTACTGGACGTAGTCTAGTTTATCAGTGGAGAAATTTCATAATCACTTCGACTATCATCGCATTAAAAGCAGTGGTTTATAAATGCAGACCCAAAACCAGGAAAACGAAAGGCGTATACCAGTGCACAAAGTTAAATTTTCAAAGGAGGCTTGCTATTTATTACGAATACAATGCCAAACAAACTTAGCCTAAGGGATTTTAGGTCCCTAATGTAAATTGATGTAAAACATTTGAAAATAATTTTGATAGACGCACAAGATAACCAAAAATTGGATATAGATGCATGGTTTTCTCTAAACTGCTATTTGTAAAACCATCTTCATCATTGCAAAGCCGCCAATCAATAAATTTAGCCTTTTGTCTAAAAACCAGAAGTATTTATTTACAGTGGTACCCATAATGTCAAACGCAATAAAACAAATATCATTTAGGTGGTGCAAACAAGCCTAGACAAAAATAAACCTTGTAAAAAATTAGACCCTACAAAAATCAAATAAGACTAGGGCTTTATTTTAAGGTAGGCAGTGGTTCAAACCTATTAAAACGAAGCGAAAAGTGCTAGTTCCACAAACATATCAGTCGCACTGCGTAATGATCAGAGAAGGCAACGAAACAATAAATCGCACACTCGTATCCGTCGATTTCACCATTGAAAAGTTTATTTGTGTTCCTCATCATCCGCAGTTTGATAGGCGCAATTCAATAACAGCGCCGTTAACCAATAATCGCTTGCTAGGTCATTGGGGGTGGCTTACACTGTTCTAAGTTCATTTATTGATTACAATAAATGTTACTTAATGTCCTCAGATAAATAATTATTTTTGCTTTTTAAACATTTTGAGACATAGATCAGTTCTTTATTTT